GAGTGCTGAAAGGGAACTTGGAGTTAGTCCGGTATGTTGGTGAGACATGCGGGGAGGAGGTACTGAGGGGAGAAGGACAATCACGGCAAGACATGCGGCGCACTTGGGCGACTGAGGGAGGGCAGTTGGAGCTACTCCGGTATGCTGTAGAGACATCCGTGGGAGGAGGTACTGAGGGAGAAGGACTTTGACGGCAGGACATGCGCTCACTGGGCGAGTCTCAGAGGGCACTTGGAGGTAGTGCGGTATGTTGGGGAGACATCCGGGGAGGAGGTACTGAGGGAGAAGGACAATGACGGCTGGACATGCGCGCACTGGGCGAGTGAGGGAGGGCAGTTGGAGGTAGTGCGGTATGCTGTAGAGACATGCGGGGAGGAGGTGCTGAGGGAGAAGGCCAAGCACGGCAGGACATGCGCGCATACGGCGAGTCTCAGAGGGCACTTGGAGGTAGTGCGGTATGTTGTAGAGACATGCGGGGAGGATGTGCTGAGGGAGAAGGACAAGTACGGCAAGACATGCGCGCACTGGGCGAGTCTCGGAGGGCACTTGGAGGTGCTGCGGTATGTTGTAGAGACATGCGGGGAGGATGTGCTGAGGGAGAAGGACAAGCTCCGCTGTCTTGGGCTTTTATACACGTAACAAAGATATACAGGGCAGGGACGGCACATTCGCAGGGCCGACTTTTTCATACAAGCAGAGGTGGAAAGGTGGAGCGGAGTTCAAGAGCTTGTCCTCTCCTCTTGCCCCGAAATACTTGTTCGACGTCATTTCAGGGCTGGTGTCACAGGATCTGGATGTCAACCTGTGCATGGTATCGGCGTTCGCAAAAGATTTGAACCTCCAACACTGAATGGCTGGTCTTGCATTTGAGGGCAGGTAGAACATGGTTTGCCACAGTCCCGTCAATTGTCGAACCAGAAAGCAAGAGGAGGAAATGCGGTAACGAGGGAGACAAGGCTCAGACGGGTACACGTAAAAGAGTGCTGATCATAGTAGAGATTGGATTGGAAACAGAACCATTTTGCGGATCAGCGCGCCCTGTGACAGAAAGCAATGCACCTCAGACGACGGGGAGGCTTGAGGACGGAATGGTGGTGTCTTTGGAATGATACCATCCGATCTGCATGGCAGCCATCTGATTCATGGATATCCGACAAAATTGCAGATTACATGTATTTTGTATTTGATTGGCATTATGATATCTCTCCGAACAAATGA